TAGACGGTTATCTGTTAAATCCTGAAAAGAACCCCAGGAATCATAGGAGTTTTCAATCTTAGGGAATCTGATGGCTCATGGTGGTAGAAAAGATACCAGCCTAGGGAAATTGCTACTAAGGATATATCAGCTAATGTTAATCCTACCTTTGGGTCTATGATTGGTTTCTTCTAGATCTTGGAAATTCTGGAAAGTTTCTAAACCTTAGAATTTGGGTAGGTCTCGTGGGGTCGTGAGAAGTTGCAAAGGCTCCTTGCGGCAGCATCAGGGGTCCAGCCATCTTCTCTTCACGGGCTGCTCTTCGACGGTCAGCGACATGTGCGCCATTCCAGCATGCTCCAGGCAAGTGAGCCTCATATGAAATTGAGAGGCCATGTCTTCACATGTTGCTGTCGGGAGGTTTGCAACTACCCTTCCTTACTACCGCGTCCGTTGCGGCCGCCAGCGCTGTGACCCGGCACACCTTGGGACTGGCTGCATTTGCTGAGCTCCTTCGGTGCTAAACATGCTGGGTTGCTGTTGAGGAACTTAAGCTGAGCTACCACAATGGGTATATCTATATATATATATATGTATAGTAATTTGGTTTCCCCAGCGTAGTAATTTAGATTAAGTTCCTTAACAGCAACCCAGCATGTTGCTGACCAGTGACCAGGTCAGAGTACCAGCTCAGGGCCAAGGCGCACCAAGACTTTGGGGTGTTCACAGTGCTCGCAAGGCGTGGCTGAGGTGGTTGGATGAATGTAGTGCCAGCTTTTGAGCGAAGGAACAGAGATTTGCAGGTGTCCTGGCACGGACTCTGGCAAAGTCAAATGTGGCCAGAGCGGCGCGCTAGAGGCCTCCGGTCATAGGATAAGCTCACGCTGCTATTTGGTGTCTGGTTGCAGGTGCGTTTGCCATCTGGGGAGTGGGCGTGCGTGCCTGCAAGAAGAGAGGAATTGACAGTTATGCCGGGCACGCTGATCGAGTACCTCACTGCAGGATAGAACTTTACGCTGATCCCATCCATGACACGGGTTCTCTGAAAGCCGTCTCTCCGCAAGGACGATGCAGAGGCGTGATGCATCGAGTCTCGAATCCGCGACCTGGGGTTGCAGCTGATTCTAGACGGCTTTCTGTGACCTTCGCGGCTTGTCAAGGTTTTTCCACATTTTCCGAGCTATAGCCAGCCGTTTTTGGTTTTGCTTACCTGCTGGTGAAGCAAAGGAAGCAAGAATTCATTCTGAGCTATTCAATAGATCTTTCTAGTAGTCCCATGTAGCCCCTATATGAGCTACAGTCTGAACTCCTATGGGACTATAGAGGGGAGTATTATAGGGTTTCTGAAGGGGGATGCTGGGACTACAGCTCACATCAAGCATGCTATGCATGAAAAGTGTCAGGTGGTGAAGCCGGACTACACAGCTCCAGCGGTACCACCAGACAGCGACCTTGAGGATTCAACGACGCCCACTCTGGGCGATCTGTGGCGAGTAGGTGGTATGATGGCCTTGTTAGAAATAGTATGATTATTAGTATTCGTAATCTTACTTTAATATCATTATCCTTACTACTATTATGCACTTGTTGTTGCGTGGAGCTTGAGAGAGCTGAAGCATCCATTGAAGCCGAAACTTGGATTCTGTGCAGGTTGGCAGGAAAAGCAACGCCTCACGGGCACCATGTCACATGGAGATGCAGTGCAGCAATTCCGAAGACATCGGCAGGAGAGCATTGCTGAGCTCCAGGCTCTTTCTGGTCTCAGCATGACATGATCCCATATGTCAGGAGCTGCGGGAGCGTCTCCTCTTGCAGAATGTTCTGAAGCACGCGACGCCCTAGAGGAGCATGCGCCAGCAGCAGCCCTCCCCTTCTTCCCCTCGATGGCAGATGTCCAGAGCCTGCTGCCCGCAGCTCGACCTGAGATCCGTTCCCTTCTACCTGGAGTCGCAGAACGCCGTCGACTGGAGCGAATAGTGTGGGTGAGGAAAAAGCGCGTGACGCTGCGTGGAGGAAGGTCCTTTCTTACTGAACGTGAAATATGGAAGCAGTGTGCGATCCTCGTTTTGCGCATGGCAGGTGTGATCCGGGCCAACGGTGGTGATAGTTGGTGTATCTGCATGTGGGCCTTCACCCAAGCCCCTTTTATGTCTTTGCCGTTTTGACGCTCCTGACCCTGTTGAGGCCTTTGCTCGCATGATCGAAGCGGTGGGGTGTGAAAACGTGCACCTGCGATGCAATGCCACTGATCTGGACTTTGCTCCCACCTGAGTTTCCATTCAACTTGTTTTTGGAACGCAAAATTGCCTCCACTGCAGGTGTTGGCCAGCTACCGAGATCGAGGAGTAACAGGCTCCAGTCCTGCACCATCAGCTTCATGGACGGTGCTGCTTGCAACTTTGGCAGGTCGTGTTCACGACCTCAAAGATGCGCACAGCTGCATGCGCTCGAAATGTAAGGAGGCACCGATGCGGCTCCTGCACATGTCAACACAAGTTGCAACATCAGTCATGGAGAAGATGAGGCACAGACCAATCATGGCGGAAGGGTCACTTGGCCATCAACCGCTCCAGTTTGCAGCTCCAGCTGCACATTTCCTATCTGAAAGGATGTCACATGATGTCACGGTAATGCCAGAGCTGAGGCCGAGACCGAGGGCTTTGCGGACCTCTTGAGGCTATGAAATTGAAGGGCGGTGCGAGTTCCTCGTACAACATGCCAACAGTCTCACTCATAGGTCAGGGATTTTCGCAAGTCTGACTTGCCAATTTTCTGGTTGCTTAACATACTGATGCAACATGACCCGCTAGCGTGCTTCGGTCCGCAAAATGGTGTACATCTCATCGCCGGATGCAGCTGAACACAGGGCTAGGTTCCCTCTGCGTCTCGCTGCGTGCTAAGGCTCTCCAAGGCTTAGTTCCGCAAAGTGCAGCACAGCTTAATCAGCTGAGTCTGGTGACTTTGCTTGTTACAAGGGATGTGTATGGCATTGCAACAGGTTAAAGCTACACACCCATCCTACTGCAGACAAAAGGCAGCTGGAGATCCCGGTGCTTGCCCCCATGGCGCCCCATGGCGTATGCCAAGGACGGAACCTTAATGTGCGGCAGGCAGCTTTTTGCAGATCAGCCCCCTGATTGGGTGCAAAAGTACACAGGCTTGCCTCGGTCTGTCTGACTCCGAGAGTTTCTTTGTTACACCCAGTTCAAGTGGCAGACTGCATCGCAGGCGTGTGCAGATCTTTCTGGTCAGGCTTTCCATCGTACCTGCGCGTGCTGCGTACAAAGGGACGTGGCCTTGGTTTTCTGTGGATGTTGATTGCTGGAGCAGCCCGCTGAAGGAAGGGAGGGAGTTCGATTTTGAAGCTCTAAGGTTCGTCAACCCGCTGCGCCACTACAACGAAACTTCCCGCCAAATCGTGTGCCCCCCAACTTGTCGCCCATTTGATCTGAGACCTGTGTGATCAATTGTCATGAAACTCTGTGCATCCAAAGTCTGCGGTCTTGGACTGGCAAGGGTTTCGTCCTTGACATCAAGGGCAGTGAGTCCGCAGAAGAGGTGATCGCTGCTGTTGAGGAGCTCTTATTGTAAAGGCTGTGGAGTCCTCCAATCCTGGGTGGGGCAGACTGGGGGTTAGTCTTCGATCTGCAAACAGCGATGCCGTTATGATTTGGATCTGTTTGCATGCCATGGCCGTCCATTTTTGGCTTCAGTCATTAGTTCTTAGGGAGCTGTCCATGGAACAGTCAATTTTTGCAAGACTAGCTGTACCGTGAACGAAACTCAAGCTCATTCTTAGGGCAGGATGCCCAGATTACTTACATGCCCAACAGGACCTGTGACAAACGTAAGATGTCCGAGCCAAGCAACAACCACTTGTGCCGGCTATAGATTCTCATGTTGTTTTATACCTCGACGAAGAACAAAGATTTCATAGCCTGATCCTCCTCCAACAGTGCCGCAGCCGCTTGTCAGCAGACCGTGCTTTTCCGTGTTGGCTCCGATTTGAGAACTCTAAACCCTGAGCTCTGGACCTTAGAAGGGTTTATGGCAAACCCTTGAATTTTTTCAAACGGGTCCAGGGTTTGAGATCTGCATTGGGCAGGCCATGCTCCGGAGGGTTTGAGATCTGGATTTCCAGGCAGGATTCAAGTGTTTGTGGGTTGAAGGGTTTGCTTTGCGCCAGTCCTTAAGCAGTCGCTTGCTGCGTAAGCTCTTTCACCCAGGTGAAGTATGCATTCTTGGATGCGTCTTCTTGCGGGCATACTCCCACTTCTTCGGCTTCTGCACTGCGAGATAATTGTGGACCGCCCAGACTCCAATTACAAGGTGCTTTGCTTAGTGGAGTTCTGTTCGATCAGCATTTTTGTGATGTCCATGTCGTTTCGAGCACATGTCCCGTCAGGGCAATGCCACAAATTGCACACGGCTATTTGCAACTTGCAGGAATTGGTAAGTCTGCTTCTGTAGTTTACTCATGGCGTGCCATATGTGCCATGTTTGAGTACACGCTGCAAGCGGTCTGCCAGTTCATGTCGGAACCCCACGGCTATGGGCTAATGCTGGCAGGATTCCTTTCCGGATGTGTTCGCAGTTGAACTAGCATACATGGCTGTTCTCCAAACGGCGGGACCCCGATTTTGACTCCAACACACTCTCAGATTATCAACATTTTCAAGGAACCGCGACTAGGTAACCCCCTAATGTTGCGAAACCCTCACATCCAAGGTTGACAACACGCCTTTTGACCAGGGCTCGCAAGTGCATGGCCTGGATACGGACGTGCACCCCAGGACTTCAACCGTTTCCGCGCAGTGGCAATGATGCTTTCTGGTGACTGAGCTGTTGCTGAAGGAAGCTGAACTCAAAGGCGGACATGCTGACAATTCGGGCCGTGTATTATGAGCCACGCCCTGTAGGGTACCTTGGTTCGAAGGTTCTGTACGGGATTCTGTTTGAACCCAGGATGATGAAGGAGTAGTCGCAGTGGTCCTGAGGTTGAGCCCTGGGCTGAACAACGATCTCTACACCGAGGCGTTTAACAACATGCACGCGCGAGACTTGTACATCATGCGGTGCCCTGATGACAACTTAGGGCTCGGCACAGCGGCATGTGACATTTGCACTTTTTGCATCTTTTTGTCTAAATTTCTTGTACGGCGACGCAACTTGACGGCCTGACTCTCAGCAACCAAGGAAAATACTACACGCGAATGCTGTCAGGCTTGCACCCTGGGATCCCAGCCAGGATCATTCTGCTTTTCTGCGCATCTGCAAAAAGTATGGAATGCGGCCGGGCTGAAAAGTGGACACGGGGCTGTAGTTCCAAGGCTCTACGAAGTAACAAGCCGATTCTCCCAATTTCCCTTTTTAGCAAAAACCTAATTTGCCACTGCCCGGGCAAAGTAGGAGCTTACTATAGTTTGGAAAAACTGCCATGGGTGGGTGAGACCTTATTGTAGTTTTCAAACACCGTGGATGGGTGCAGAGGAAGTGCCTGGGCTCAAAAGATGATAGATCCTCATCTCTCTTTTAGCTTTGCAAATATCCTTTAAACAGTCTTTTGCGTATCCTTTCGCAGTCGGTCACTGTTTTCTTGAATCCCTGTCACTCGCTGGCTGCTGTATCATGCATCCAGTTAAGAATGCATATAGTGCAGCGCTGCTTGGGTCGCTAGACCCACCGTGGAGTCAATTTCAAGAGGTGATGCTGGCTTGACACTGATGGTGTCAAGTTTAGTGCTCCCAGGTAAGTTTGATTTCAATCCGATTGTAACCTCTCATGAATTTAAACTTAGCTCTGCGAGGCATCTCTGGATAGAAGATGGAATGCCCCTGAAGCAAAGGTATGTGATCCCGACTTTCGACCTCGGGTACTTCTTGTCCACGGAAGCGAGGTCTGCCCTGGCCCTGCAGTTGCAGTTGAGCCGGGCTGTGTTTGCAACATGTTTCTGATATCAGGAGGACGGCCTTCAGTGAGAGGCAGTCCGAAGTGTGGAAAGGCTTTCAGAAGTTCGTGCATCAGGCAGGAGCACGAGACATGCTTCTCTTGGGGGCTGAAGGAGTCCTAGCAAGCCCCTTCCAAGTTGAAGCTTCGGCAGTAAGACGTAAGCTCTAGACCTGAAGAAAGCGCCTCAAAGTTCCCCAACCTATAAGAGTGCCCGCAGAATTCTGAGCATATGGATGCAGCAGCTTTCATCCTGGGAGTGGTGGGGTGTCTGCCTGCATTCTCTGAAATAGGTCGGAAAGGCCATGGTCTGGTCAGTTAGCCTGCAGGCCTTCGCAAGTTTATGCTACACCTGTCTACAAGGGTTTGTTCAAGCCATGGGCACTGCGGTAAGGCTCTCCTGGACACCGCAGATTCTGAAGACCTTATCCTGATGTGGACGATCAACTTTGGCCTCAACCTTAACGAGACAACGGAGGAAGGTCCCCGGTCGATTTCAGTCCAGTCTGACATCCGGGATGCACCTTGGCACCATGTTGCTCCTGAAATGGGCTGAAGGCTTACCCCCATCACTTCCTGTAGTGCTGCAGACTATTCTATATTGTTCATGCTTTTCATGAGCAGTGGAAGGAACAGCCGGAGAGTTTGTTGGGGGGAGTAGTAGCCGAGGAGTAGGGGTAGGGGTAGGGGTATCAAAAGGAGTAGAAACAGGAGTAGGAGCAGGAGCTAGCCTATGAGTATGAGTTTTGAGACGTTATGACGAGGATGTCTCATTGCACATTTCAGTGCTGGGCCTGAGGATGCTGTAGGGGTGGGTTGCGCTTTCTTGGAGGGTCGAGATCCAGCAACTTAATGCATGGCCTATGACATCATTACTGTCCCTTTATCCGGAAGCCAAAGCCTTGCAATAAACGTGCTCCAAGCCCCCGAGAGCTTTGTGGCGCATTCGGGCTTCTGACATGTTTCAGGCCTCACTGCGTCCTTTTGCATCGTGACTGTTGAAATAGCAGCTTTGGCAACTTCATGTGTCTGCAATCCTGGGGCGGCCAGTTTTTTTTTGGAGTGGAGGAACGAACCCACCTCGGCATACGAGCCCGTTTAGCCTTCTGAGGTTCCAGACCTTGAAATAAGTGAGGTAGGACTGCCCGAAGATCGTTTAAAGTGTAAGTCTTCTTAAGCTCTGTTGAAGTACACTCGCAAGAAGACAGCACCGCTGCTTTGTACGTCTTGCTGATAACAGTCACTTCTGAGGAGTACTTCCAGATGTTGCGCGTGATCCGGTCGGCCCAGTGGCTCCAGGAGTGTGGGCCTGCGAAGAGCTCCTGCACTGGTGACCGCTTCAAACGGCCACTAGGCCTGCTGACATGCAGCAGTTGTCACTTGCAAAGCGCTCAAAAGAGCTTGCGAACAGTCACTGAGCGGGACAGGCATTCCACTTCTGCTTGACACCACCCTACGGCAAGACAACATTGGTTGGTACCTCGGCTTCGCTGCTCCCTGGCCAAAATCTAGCCAGGCTCAGCTTGACATTGCGATGGAGCTAGCTGCAAAAGAGCTTTTTGTCAAGGAAACTGTGTGGGGCACGTGGCCGGTAGACGAGCTCTCGCTGCGCATTGATGAGAAGACCTTCAATCGTCTTCGGCCTCTAGGGGCCTTTGACGTCTGGATTGCGCAGTCACAGCCTCCAACGAGTCGGCAGGGGCAGACAGATTTGCAGCAGCAGTTGAAGTGGTTGAACGCCACGCGGACAGAGATGGGACAGTAATTAACAAGTTGCTTGATCCTTTGTATCCTTTTTTTCCTTGCGTTTCTTGCGTGATGCCTTCTGCTGCCAGGCCACAATGCAAGAGAGCCACAATGCCTTCACCTGGCACGACCTCTCAACGCAGACCCTGAAGAATCCGTCGGGCGACGTGCTCGCAGGCTGCGACCCAGGCCATGTGACTGTAAAAAATGGCTTCTGTTGCCTTTGTCCTGAAGTTACAACCCTTGATGTGAGTGAGCGTCCGCAGCAGGCATTGGATGCACATATCCAACAAAGAAACTGGTGATCACACAGTTTGGGTTTGCAGCTGAAGCTCCCATGTATGGCTCGGTGGCACGCCTGCAGTTTATGAAGATGTGGTGGGGGGGCATAGGCGCCTGTTGGGAAGGGCACAGCACAGGGTGGCTGTGCTTATGAGTGGGGCAGGCGTCTGATGAGCTGTAGTCTAAACTCCTAGTATCCCCCTTAGTAACTCCCCCATATAATCCCCTATATAACCCCTTTGAAGGAGTTCAGACAATAGCTTTGAGGGTGTCAGTTTCGCAGCCTGAGGTAAACGAGGTTGTTGATCCTGGCCTGCAGCAGCAATTGACAGGCCTCTTCGCTCAAGAGTAGATTGAGAGTGCGCTGTTACATGGACACCGATGTGCGCTGGAGATCACCTGGGTTGCTGTTAAGGAACTTAATCTAAGCTACCATATCATATCATATATATATATGTATGTAATAGATAATGTTGGACCCTGTTTAGTATGTACGGCCCCCCCC